TGAGCATCCTTTGATATTTACTGTGCAGAAGAGGTATAGAGTTTGTCTGTATTATCTCTTTGTAGTCTTTCACCGAGAAGGCTGTGCATTCAAGTATTCAGAATCCTCACTGAATCCCTGACGGGCTTCACTGACTGACTGGACTCTTTCAGAATCAACAGCTAGACATGAACCAGAGGCACATGCGGCAACGTGCCTCGATCACACGATGAAGATGAAGATGATGATGACGATAATAATTGGCCAGTGTGCGCCAGTACGCTCCCCACACACCAGCTCTCGGCGGGGAGGAGAACAGAGTGAGGAAGCCAGTTCAGAGATGGGCGTTATTAAGACATGTGCTGTAAGGACAAGTCTATACTAATAATATGAGGTAAGAGCTACTGTATTTGGCCGACTGCGCGTGGAGAACAGAAAGAAGAAACCCGCTGTGTTGAAGCCGCGGCGCGTGGCTGTTAAACGAGCCTTTGGGTTCAGGGTCAGTCGGAGGTCTCGGCCGGCGGTTTTCTTCTCTTGACTGGCTTCTCGGAAGAAGATAGCAGAAGGACACTTTCACTAGGGCCGGCGTCTGCGTTCCCTGCATTCTGCATTCGGCCATATGTGCTGTTTTCGTTTTTTTTCCTTTTACTTTTTATTGCTCGTCTTTATCAGTAAAGTCTTCATTTCTTTATCAGTATGTACAGCGTCCTTGGGTTTGGAAAGTTGATTTACAAATAATTATTATTTATAATTATTATTATTATTATTATTATTCATAACTCAGAATAGGGGGTATTTCTGTACTCAAGCTACAAAACTACATTGGTCAGATAGACGTGCCTCCTCCCGTCTGGAAACGCACTCAATACGTGCGACTAAACAAACATACAAAGACGCAAATACAAAAAAAAATATTACTGCGAAAAAATGTAAAAAAACAAAACAATAAAAAGATACTTGCGGCGCACTACGAGGTGAGAGTAGGAGAGGGTAGAGGTGGAGCTGGCAGAGACTGACTACGACTAAGAGGTTAAACACGTCTGCGATGAGCGGATCTCCGTTTCTCTGAGTTTAACTGCACAGAAAACGTTTCCATAGTCCGATTTCTACCGTTTGTCCATTTACATGTTTTATAGTATAAATTGAGGAAATGTACATATACAAAAAAAAAACGTTTGCTGCCTTGCATTATGATTTGAAAGTATAAATATACTATACACTTATATTAGTCTCTTATACTATGCAGTAACGTAAAATTACATTTGTTTTTCGTTTTGGTACATATAATACATGAGATTTACACCTAAACAACCACAGAACGTTCACTTTTAAAATAAATCCCAGCCTCAAATCGTTTTTTCTGACCTGGCTTCTGTTTCTTGTATCTTTTTAAATAATGCTTATTCGCTCTGTTTTCTCACAGACACATAGCCAACTGAAGTTAAAAATTAAGATTTACAGTAGCATCTGCGTTTGTACCTGCACATAACGCAACGTGTTTTTTTAATGAGGAGTAATGCATCATGAGCAAATTAAACATTGCCATTTCTTACTGCCAAAACATGATTCGTCAGAAGATACGATACAACATAGATAGGATATAAGCAGCCGGGAGGCAGAAGTGTAAAAGGTGGACAGTTTATACCTGAGGCAGATACGAGCACCAGGCAGGCGAGAGCACACACTGCAGATAAAGTCTTCATTTCTCCGATCCCTGCTGACAGAGAAAGAGTGACAGCGCTTATCAGACAAGACGATGACGGCAGATACATTTTCTCCTGCCTGTTTAATAAGAACCTGCTGTCGGGACAAAACTCAAAAGTCAAAGATGCGTCTAGATTGAACAGCGTCTACAACAAAGCGTGGGATCTGTATCCATCATGGGCGTTTTATACAGTTTATTACACAATACAAAGTATCATGCAAAATAATTCTATATTTATAAGACAAAAGAAGCCATTGTGTTGTATACACTTTGATGTATCGTGAGCTTTTCAAAGCACTCATAGCAAAGCCACTCAAGTCGTAATATTCAGATAAATAATCTCTTGTTCACAAACTTGCTCCCATTCGCTAATAGCGCGTCGTGCCATCAGTGACCCGGGCTCCTTACCCGCTCAAATTTCTGCCGGAAAACGTGTTTTTTCTTTCTTCCAACACCAGTTCCTAAACTTTAGAAAGAAATATCAGTGTTTAATTAACATGACGTAAATCTTTTTTCTTCTTCTGTGCATTTAAATCGCACCTAGTCTCTCAAATGCGAGAATGCATTGAATTGGATACGACCGTACTTTTGCAATACAAAGACCTGATTCCCCCTCAATGTACTGAATCCCGTACATGCAGCAGCAGTTAAGGTGCTTGTCCACGCGAAGGAGCGTCACTCACCCGGCTCTGTCCCGCGCTGATGAGGCTCCCTGGCTGCGCTCCTATTTATGAGGGGAATCCTGAGCGGCGCTTCGCACCTTCCTCGAAGTGTTGCTTGTACAGTTGTTCTCTCACTTCTGGGGCACGGAGGCGTGCAAATATTCCAGTATTGGGATATCATTACGGAAGCTGATTAACGCCACGGGGGAAAAAATATGTATTGCCTTTTAACGAGATAATATTGCGTTTTAACGAGATACTTAAGTTTAAATGAGATACATACAATAACTTGTGCTGCTAACTCCTTGCCAGCACCAGGACTTTCTTCCTAATTATGTCACTCTGTTGGCTATGGCTTGTGTGCCATGCTGGAATTGTTTTCAATTTTGTTTGACAGTCCATATCTCTTTACATGTATGTCTGTACACACTGACACAGCAATACTTATTTTTCTTGTTTTTCCCTTCAATACCAAATAATACCAGGTTCACAGATATTTGTTGTAATCGTAGGCTAAAGGCTTTTAAGGTTTTCTGTGCTTAAAGATTCAACGATGGACCAACAGTAACAGTAATCTAATAATAGGTATTACTATAGCCTTACTGTCAAGTCATGGAAAATGTATTATGTTAATTGTTTAAAGATTAGGCAAAATCTATGTAAAGTACATGTTTCTGCAGTTTCACGTGATGAATAACACGGTTCTAATTCTAATTAATTAATTTGCACAAAGAGGAGTGTGACGAGTTTCTGCTGTTGTTAAAGACAATGCTACTATGTATGAAATAATGTTAATGCATACATTACTCTGTATATTGCAAGATATTTATATAATAGGCAATATTATTCATGAAGTAACAATTGCGTTTAAACGCAATGTTATCTCATTTGAGTGCTGCAAATATCTCGTTTAAACGCAAAAAAAGATTTGGAATGCATGAATAACATTAAGATTATATTGACGGATAGATGCGAGTGTGCATTTTATAACTATTCAGATCGCCTCTAAATGCCCAGCAGTATTTTTAAGTGAACGACGTTTACCGAGCTAAAATACATCCAAGGTATGTATTTGACGCTTTTGTTAGCGGACCATTCTTGCAATTAAATGTACGATTAATTGGTTAGCACTGTAATACGACTATAACAATTCAGTGTTAAGTCTTGTGGGAAGTCACGAATGTACAGATTAGGTGTCTTTTGGCATCGGAAATACAGTAGAATACTAATTTCTTGGGTTTCATACAAGTTTAAAAGCATCATGAAGGATCAAACAAGATCTTCAGAACTTAATATTTTAATACCTTCGCAGTTTTTATTTTCATGGTGCCTCACTCGATATTACCCTTGGGGCGATGCATTTACTCCAACCTCTGAAACCCACACGTACGTGCACGTTCTTCTGGTATGTTATGCTCAAGTCCGCTGAATATTTAAAGACAAGGTAAAAGCTCCGTGAAGTTGGCTCCCTACAGACAACACAAACGATGAAACCCACCTCATTCGTTAGTGCTACTTGTGCCGTTGAAAGTAGCGTTTGTGCTGCTTTCGTTCCTGAGATATAGCGCCTTGGTTTCCTGTTGATCGCGTGACCATGCACGGTGACTTTGACCTCCGGTGACCCCGTCTGCCGAGTTCAAGCGTCTGTTACAGTTTAGCTCGTACCCTTAACATTTTAAAGACAATCAATATCCATGAACATATGAGCCTCCTTAGATGTGAATAATACTAAGACATGACGCATGCCAACAAGTTAACCATCTATGACATAAACCTGTGGTTGTAATGTATGTAAAACCTTTTCTGTTGTCAAACGCGTAACTGTGGGATACCATCGCGACAAGACCTCTGCACCACGCTGATAGGGATACATGTACTGTATACTGCGGCAGTGTATATCACGACTGGCGCCTTGCTTCCATGCCACCCTGGCACAGCTGTCGCAACAAAGGTCTCATATCATATACCCAGATAGGACGTGTCGCGATATATGGACTTTATGTCCTGACATGGGGTCAGCATATCCTGTTAGGGTATGTCCTATCGCAACATATGGACTCCATGTTGTGACATGGGTGCAGGGCATTTTGTCGGGGTATGTCATATCAGGATTTACGGGCTTCATGTCGTGACATGTACGTGAAAGTTCTAGTCATATCACGATATATGGACTCCATGTCGCGACATGTGCGTGATAGTTTTTGTCATATCGCGATATGTGGACTCCATGTTGCGACATGGGGGGTGGGCGTTTTGGCTGGGCATGTCATATCGCGACATAGGGCCTTTCATGTCGCGACATGGGGCGGGGCGTTTTGTCGGGGTATGTCATATCGCGATATATGGACTTAAAGTCGCGACAGTGGCGCCATAACAGTGATGCGCCAGTCGCAATGGGTATCGCGATGTGATCGTGATGCGCGCACTCCTATCGTGTCATGCTATCGGAGTCGTGAACGCGCTGTGAATGCCATGACACTTTGTCTGCTATTCAGTTTTGTCCTCAGTGCGTCTTCTGTTAGATTGATTAGTAATTGGAACACAATGGATGTGTTACTGTATATCCAGCGTGCTCATGCAGCACAAACGCTTAACCGGGGCTACAGTTTTGGACCAAGAAGAACATCCTCACCTACGTTTCTACATGTCCTCTGAACTTCCGCTGTGGCGCTGTACCCAATCAGAGTGTCGATTCTCACTCTTCACCCAATCGCGACCCGAGCTGTTCGGGGGTTTAGCCAATCACGGCTCTGAGAGCTGTTCAAGCGAGCAGCGCCAGGTGGATCGGCTTGTTTACTGTCAATGAGAATCTAATTTTACAATGCTTTACTTATTTGCAAAATAACTCCATCGGCTTATTTTTTTAACGTCTTTATTGATTCACAACGTCCCATACGCTTGAAATAAATACATTTTTTATTTGCAATATAACTGTCTCCGCTGCTTTCTGTAATGAATACATGTTATTTAAACAATTGTAATCGTATATTTAAGGTAGGGGAAACACCTTCTGATTTGTAATTAAAAAATGAATAGAAATGTAAAGTCTATGATCATTATAGTATTATGCTCGTGTTTTCAATTTTGTTTTTTTATTGTTAAATTATATCGATCTTGAAACTAGTACCTAAAAATGTGAATATGGGCTCTCGTGTTGTACCAGCTGTAATTTGGAAACTGGAGTCTCTTCACCAATGAAAGGAGTACACAAGAAAAACATTTTCGAGAACATGGTTAAAAATTAAAAGAAAACTCCCAACCCAGTGAACTCATAGTAACTCCTCCCTAAATGTAAGACTGTTTATTCACGTAAAGGCTGCGAAGTCTGGGATCAACTGATCAAAAGATCAAAACTGAAAGATCTGGTGGTCGTGACTTTGCTGTTTTGTACGTCACAGAGTGACAGAGGAAACATCAACCCCACCCGAGCAGACAGACTCGGAAAACAAATTGCCCCCATTGTTTTAATCACAACCAGGAGTTCAAGTGCCGAGTTTGTTGGTACCTATAAACTTCCTTGTAGATAGTCACGTGATTACCCGAAAAACCAAGGCGCTATATCTCGGAAACGAAAGCAGCACAAACGCTACTTACAGCGCGTCAAACGCAGCACTAACGATTGCGGTGAGTTTCGTCGTTTGTGCTGTTCGACGGGCGGGTGGGCAACTTCATGGAGCAGGACAAGCAAACATGTCTGAGTCTACATTGCAGACTGCAGGTGTGCCCTCACGCTGTATTCTACACCAAGGACTGGCCGGAAACACACAGATACAAGGACTGTGAGCTCATCACTTCATGTTTCTCGTATAAGACCCCTGTAAATACAAACACACGGATAATGAGTTTATTAAAGAATTCAGATATATGTTCACTTCTGTTATGTGAAAATAAAAAATGTTTCCAGTATTGCTGCGGTCCGTAGGTGTGAGGGTACAGTATAGTTACCCGTTAGAGTACCTTGTGAACATAAGCCTTTTCTTTCCCAGATCAGAGCTCACAGTCTAATGAGTACAATACCACAGATGTGATGTAGTTGTAATAGATTTCGGTTGCAGTAATATGCCGTGCAGATGAAGTAAGATATGTCTTGACATGTTGATTTCTTTTTGGGCAGGGGGGAAACTTGTTCTTAGTTTTTCATGGTAACACCTCTTGACAGATGAGCTGTACAGTCTTCCTTTGTTTCTTCTGCAAATTTACTTTGACAAAATAACTTTCCTGGAAAGTTACATGTGAAATAGAGATCATTTTATGACATGAAAGTAATAATGATCTAGATTTTGTAGAATTATCCTTATGGTGTCTTTCTGCTTAGTAACATCTTTTTAGTGTCCCATTAAGATATCATGTTTTTGGTTCTCTCATGACCAACATGAACTCTTGCTGATGGATGAAGAGGCATTATCTGTGTGATGGCAGTCTAGCTATTGCTGATGTCTGCAAAAGACAGGCCTCTCAGCTTCAGGAGGAATGCAGAAACAAAACAAGTTTTGCAAAAAAGTGGGTCTAATTGGGTCCAAAACAGATTAGGAAGAAGAAGAACCCAACATGAAGGTTAAAAGGCACTGTCTGACACTGGTGGGCACTCAATGAGACTGTCAGAGAATATCAGAGTTCTGTAAAACTGTCAAAAGCTGCACTGTGTAAGAAGTTTACTTCTCATTTCGTGAGGTTGCTAGAAAACGATCAGTTATGCAGCGCTTCACAGTGAGTTTTTAGCCGTTATAAAGCATGCTGTTTTCAGACTTTCAGTTCTGCACCCTGAGGTGCATTAGGTGAGAAGTCTTGGGGGATGGGGGATGAGGGATGGAGCTGGAGAGAAAAGGAGTTGGGGGTGTCTGAAGGGGAGACAGAGGAAGGGCAGAAGGGGGTGCAGGGGTGTAGTATTGGGGTCAGAGTGCAGTGTCAGCCATTATACAGCACCCCTGGTGCAGTTAGGGTTAAGGGCCTTGCTCAGGGGCCCACCGGAGTAGGATTGTTCTGCCAACTGTTTGAACCGGCAACCTTCCAGCCACAGGGGCAGGTCCTGAGCCACAGAGCCACCCCTGCGCCCCAAATTAGATGAAGCATTTAGAAAATTGGATGGATGAAAGTATTCCAATCAAGCAGTTAATTATATAATTGGATCAGCTGTGGAACAGAACATGGATGGAACAAAAACCAGAAGACCCTTCAGTCCTGAGTCTGAGACCCCAGTATTAAACTTCCCCTTCGAACTGTCAGTGCTCGTGATTCAGTAGAGCAGGGGTTCTCAGTCCTAGCCCTGGGGGACCCCTCTTTCTGCCGTGTTTTTTTCCAGCCGGGCCCCTAACCACCTGTGCTTACAGCTGCCAGCTTGGTGAGACTTTTTCTGTTCCCTGGTCTCTTGGTTTAAAAAATTCCCAACTTAAACTGCAATATTTCCAACATCTCCAGCTCACAGACCGTCTCTCCTCAACCTGCTAATTAAGAATCCACTCCTTTATTTCAGACTATATAGTTCTCAATAGGTGATTTATTGAGGATGCACAGATATTTCCACAGTGAGTCAGTGTTCTTCCTTCTGCTTATGTCTACAGTAATTGGTTCTGTTTCAGCACACATACCTGACTTGGGGCAGTCCTGAAACTCACAAATGACCACAAACTGGTCCAAGTACAGATCCCTGTGATTCTCCACTCGTTACACCTCCCCAATCTGAGTATGCACCCCTCACCTAGACCTCTGATTCCTGTTTCATAACCAATTCTCAAAAAACAGACACCCGCTTTTTCCTCAATGCCCAATACCTGCAATTTGAGAATTCATCTTTTAATAGAAACTTTCTTCAGACGTCTTCAGAAAACCTTAATAGACCAGATCACGAGCCCTGTGTGTATCCCTTACTGATGTTGTCTAGAAGGTTCCCATTTTGGTTCTGAAATATTTTCTTCATGCTTGATAATTCTTTTGCTGTTATCATATTGGAATAACTATTCTTATTCTTATTCTTATTCTTATTCTTATTCTTATTCTTATTCTTATTCTTATTCTTATTCTTATTCTTATTCATTGCAATATTCCCGTTCCTTTCCTGGCTTTTTGTAATATGATTTTTACCTGTGCTTGCTATTCCACGTACTCTTTTTTCTTTAACTGGTTGTTTGGTAAAAAGTTAATAAAGTGCTCTCTTTTGCCTTGTCTTGAACCTAAATGACTTCTTGAACCCTTTTAGGCTATTGCGTTTTAGCTTTTGATTTACTCACTTTTGGGATAAATATGTTATTTCCTTCAAGCTACAGTAATGATAAACTTTATTATAAATGGCAGGTTTATAGGCAATCGTGACACAGTGCTTCAATCCTGATTTCTCAGAAAAAATCTCGTTTCCAAATCCGCCAGTTCATCACATGTCGTGCGATCCATAACACACCTTCTGATGTTCCGTCTGATCTCCTCACCGGCGTCAATTTCTTCAGAAATAAAAGTTGTCATTGTTTTCCAAGAACCGAATTTCTGTTTCACATCAAAAAACACGTCGTTATCTTTTTGTTAACACGGACTCGTTCATTAGTTGATTTATGCATTCAGACTGCACACACCCCCACACAGGATAAATAATACTGCAAATGCATTGTAATCCCTATTATTTTTAATATTTATTATTTATTTAAATTTACCTTTATTAAATCTTTATATTTATTATGCTGATTGTTTTTCAGCTCAACTCAAACACTTGAGTGGCTGTGTATCTCAGCTCTAGGGATGCTCACGTGCGACGGAGGCTCACTCACCTGCTGTGCTCCTCACTCCTCCAGCTGGTCCGCTCAGCTCTGGTTACTCACGAGGGGAAGTCACAGCTCGCTTCGCACCTCTCTGGAAGGCGTTGTTTGGGGTTCTCTATTTTTTACCGCATCTCTAGTGAGATCTGAAGTGCGGTAGACCTGTCAAATGTGAAAAACCATGTGTGTCAAATACCGTTACTCAGCCCTTTTTTTGGGGGGGGGAACTTCGTGAGCTCTGGAGCTTCAGCATTTTGAAATTAAGATTTTTGGTATACTTTTTAGCTTCTATGGCTCGAAGAATCAGGATTTCGGTTTGTTTTTCTCTATTTCATTAAAGCTATTAAACTGCACTCCGACTTGCTTCATCGCTTGCAGTACTATGTATTCATCAAGCAATGAATCGGCCAGCCAGTTGCTAGGCCATTGACTGAGTTCTTCTGGAGGACCGAGGCTGGATTTATAAATGCCTTAAGGAGACGACACAAAAATGTTCCATAGGCCAAAAGATTAAATACAGCTGGGGAAAGTGTAGAGGAGTGCACTAGTGACACAGGTACTGAA